CCTAAGTTATGGCCTTTAATCATTCGGTGTCGTGACTTTAAAACTTATTCATTCTTCATACCATTCGAACAAGACTCGATTGATGTTTTTGACACAATACAAAAATTAACATGTATTGGTATACATTTAATTCTTTTTTATATAGGTCATTTTAATGGATTTTCACGATAAACTTCAATTTAATTTACTTATTTGAAAAGAATCCATTAGTCAGGTCTATGCTTTCGATTACATACCTGAAAAAGAATTTTCTTCTTCGGATGGTTGGTCTATTTACGATGTATATCAAGAATATAGTAGAATGGGTGTTAGTATAACGACTGTCTCCTGGAGATTTTCGTCCGTAAATCGTGACTATACTGTACGATGAATTTGTTTCAATTTCTTGATTACAATATTGTAATTTGTCTGATATCGTTCATTCTATAATCGTAGTTTTGCGAAACGTATCCACATACTTTAGTTGTACCTGCCAAAATTAGCGATACTGTTCTACACCATGCTTCAAAATTCAGAAGTAAAAATCGTATACCTGTTTTAAGTTATTTACATTGGCATAATAAGGTTATTATTAAAAATATCTTTAATAATTTTTTATAATGATATTAAGTTCCAACGAACTCTTTCATCTCACTAGGCATCCATAACTCGTTCTAGTCAACCAATGGTTGGACTCAAAAAAAATCGTTCAATACAAGATGAAAAACTTATCGAAGCTATTTTTCGGACTAATGTACCTAGTTTACCTCCTGGACTACTATCAGTATATGGTTCAACACAGACAAATTTAATCGTTGATGCTCGACCTACAGCTAATGCTATGGCAAACGCTGCAATGGGTGCGGGTTCGGAAAATATGGAACACTATAAAAATTGTGAAAGAAAATTTATGGGCATTGATAATATCCATGTAATGAGAGAAAGCTTAGGGAAAATGGTAGAAGGTATGTATATATATTTTTTTAAATGTTTATATGTATGTGTATATATATATATATATATTTATTTATTTATTTATAGAATTTTTCTAATAAACTGAAATTTTCATAGTGATCCAAACTGCAGACGCTCAATGCTTACCAATTAAAAAGCAAAGTCTGGATAAATCTAATTGGCTTAAGCACATTTCCACTTTGTTAGAATCTTGTCTAATTATCATCAAAAATGTACACATTGCTAGTTCTCATGTACTTATTCATTGTTCAGATGGTTGGGATCGTACGACACAATTGACATCAATCTCTATACTTTGCTTGGATCCGTACTATCGTACTTTCAGAGGATTTCAAGTTTTGGTGGAAAAAGAATGGGTATCCTTTGGTCATAAATTCTCCGATCGTTCTGGTCACCTTTCTGATGAAAAGTATTTCATTAATAGTGTTAATGCAAATGCAGCGAACACAGCTTTCAATACAGTACAAAGCAAGTTTTATAATCAATCTCATATTCGAGAAATTTCTCCTATGTTTCAACAATTTTTGGACTGTGTATTTCAAATCTTATCGCAATTTCCTACAAGATTTGAATTTAATGAAAAGTTTTTGATCGAATTGCATTATCATTGTTATTCATGTCAATTCGGGACATTTTTATGCAATTCGGAAAAAGAAAGAATGGATTATAAAGTCACTACTAAAACTTATTCTGTTTGGGATTATTTCAATTCCAATAAAAGTGTATTTCTTAACTCTTTATATGATGGTGGAGCTGAAGATAAGGAAGATATGGGTAATAATGGTGTATTACTTCCTGATGAAAAGAATATCAAATATTGGGCAGGACTATTTAACAAACAAGATTATGAACTAAATAACAATAACGATGATGTAGAGGGTTTCACATCCCCAATAAAATGGAAATCAGATAGTCCCATTTCACGAACTGATTCACCCGGAACTGGTGATGCGGACACTTGGAAAGATGGCCTTAAACCATTTTCTCCACTTAAGTTAATGAATTATGACAATAATCCTGATATTGATCCATGGAAAAGCAAGTGATTCGTGCACTTTTCGTGGTGGCAAAGCTCTCAATGTATGTTGATAATAAAAAACGATTCAAACCAATAACAGATCATGTAATACCAATAAATTGCAACCTTATGTGAGAATTCAATATAATCGGCTTTAAAAAATTACCAAATTAGCAAATGAAACCGCCTTTAGAATCCTGACTAAAAATTTTTTTATGCAAAGTTTGTGATGATCAAGAAGCCTCAACAATTGTTTCGATATTTAAAATTTTCGACACAAAGGCAAAAATTTTAAAATTCCGCATAGCTTTATATAACTTTATAAATAGTAAAGTTACTGGTGGAATTTTTAAAATTTTGCTTTTACATTGAATTTAAAGATTTAAAACTGAACCAAATTTGATTAACTATAGCGATAGATGTAAACATTTGCTTAACTATAATCTATAAAATTAGTTGGCACAAGTAATAAAAGTTTGATATGATTACGTGATCCAAAAAATGCTAACATTTTAACGTTTTCGAATTTTCCGAAATCACCATTTTCTATTAAATTATTATAAACTAGGAACCGGAAACCGGTTTAAGTTCGGAGCTCATTAACAAACGCGTAAACATGCATAATTTTTCACACACTCGGCGGATGGATTGTAACACATCAATAATAATCAATACTATTTCCTGCATGAAGATTCTTATGACAAGATCATGGCTCCATCAAGCAAAGCCCGAAGAAATATCCCTCGGGCGCCATTGACATCTCTGTTTATTTTTATACCACAATTCTTGCGATTTTACGTTTCTGATCCTCCAATATTCCACACCAACTACATGTTTTTGACGTGTAAGCTTCATTTTAAATTACTACATAAATTTTATTTTTTTTTGCTTTTGAAATTAATTTTTGTTGAAACTTATAATAGGACTAACAAAGCATTTTTCTAACCATTTTCTTGTGATTTTTTGTTTATCATATCTGAAATCTCAAAAGAGAGAATAATAATCATGTCAAATTCATTTAGATTATTTTTTGATGGATTTTATCCTAATCTTTTATTTTATATAAAAAATGGTTTTGTCAATATGTAATATTTTTTTCTTGCATTTCAAAATTGAAGATATTAATCTATTTTTATTTGATATAAAATCATTCATGTGTTTATATAAATAAAAAATATATCCTATAATATTTATTTATTTTGGTTATACTTTTTGTTAGAAAATATTATGTAAATAAAATTAAAATTAAATATTGATTTGTATTTTACAGATCTTTATATATTCAATAAAATATTTATTTATTTGTTTTATATATATATTTAAGTTTATAATTACAATTTATTTTTTGTAATAGTTGTTATAAGAGGAATGATTTTCATACATCAATTTCGGGGGTCGTCTAAAGCCGTGTCCTTTACGTGACCTAAAGCCAATAGAATTGTTTATTTTGATCGACACGGATCAGCCCGAAGAGACAAAAACAGCAAAAAAAAATGAAAATCTCAAAAAATACAAGAAACGATAGTCTAAACTCATCTTGGTGCATTAATAAAAAATGTCGGGAGGACAATTTTACTATAAGACATGCCCTGACCCTAACCCCAAACTAACCCTTACCCTAACTTTAATTAAAACATAAAAACACGTGACTGGACACGGCTTTAGACGTCCCCCAATTTCGTATAATATCACGTATATCAATTTGTTTTGACCAATAAAATTAAATAAAATCATCAGCAAAAAAAAACCATCTGTCAAAAAAAATTTGATATATGTGAAGTTACACAAAACTAATATACAAAAATCATTCCTCTTGTTATAATTATAATTTATTTTTATAATAATTATTTACAATCACAATCTATTTTTTATAATAGTTATTTATTATATTTTTTCTTATTTTTAAAGTGAAATAAATATAAGTTATGTTTTTTATTTTATTTTTTTCTTTTTTTAAAACTATTAGCAACCTCATTGATATCTTTTATTAAATCAAAGCAAAATATATATATTTTTTATACTATCTAAACTGTAGATCTGATATTACTTAGCTTTCTCTATAGGCATCTAAGTATGGTTTGTCTTACTAGTTAAGGCTATTGCCTGTATTAGAGAGTTGTACCAAGCTAGTTAGTGAAATCATAACAAGATAGTTTCAAATTAAAAGAATTTTTTACTATATTTAGTAAGTAATTATTCACTTCTAATCTATCCTTCTCTTTAAAATAATAATCTAATTCTAATTTTTTATCAATAATTAAATTTATCTTATCTTTTACTATAGAGATATTGTCAAGATTCTTTTGGTCAATCTTGTGTTTTTGTTTTCTTTTCTTCTAATTTAACTTGACTTTTTCAAACAAAGAACTGGCTCTTGTTTGTTTTATAGATATATATTCTTTTTCTTTTTTTGAAGAGCTTATTCTGAGAGTCTTTTTTAGAAGTCTTTTCCTAAAAGCTAACTCTTCTTTTGCTTGTCTTAGATTTTTTTTTGGTCTTGTAGTTTTTTGATCTTAATTGGTCTGTTCAAATTTTCTTTTTTTTCCGTTCTGGGTTTGAACATTTTTATCTTTTTTTTTCTTCTTCTTCTTTTTTTTTTTAGACCTTGGTTTTTTTCCTAGAAGTTTTTTTTATATTTTGATAAAAACTTTCTAGTTTTTGTAGAGTTTTATTAAAATTTTATTTAAAATTTCTAATATTATATCTTTTTTTCTTTTTTAATTTTTGACTCCTTTTGGTTTTCTTGTTAATATATAATAAAGCAGGTTTGTATCAATAGCCTATTGGGCTCTTGTTCAATATATTCATTTTATAAAGAAGTCTTTTTTCTTCTTTCTCTAACTTCTGCTATTAGTCTGCAAGTCTGCAATACTTGCTTGATATATTATATCAATCATCTATTTTGTTGGAGTTGTTATTATAATTTCAGGTTTTGATTCTTCTTGAATCTTGTTTAGAGTCTTGGTTTTAGTGAGGTTTGTAATGTTCTATCTCTTGATTCTTTTTTACTTTTTTCTTTAGTTTTTTTTTTTTTCTTTATGCTGGTTTGTTGCAGTAGTTTTAACAGATTTCTTG